GTAGAAAATTTATTTCAAACGGAATAGCACATCCTCATTTTTACTGAGATGTTGTTTACCGTGCCCGGAAATTTAGAAACGATCATGGCAAACTTATTGATCATTTAAATAAACTTATTCTTAAAGGTTACCAATTCAACAAAGTTATTAGACCTTTGAATATTGTTTTACTGTTATTAATATTGATTTTGTTATCAGTAAATTAAAAGCTAACTAAATATTATTGTTATATACATATGCACATTCATGGAACTACAATCTGTCGGTACCGGCATCTTGGCATTCCACAAGGTCATGCTTTTCTCTGACTGTTTATGACGTCTTTACACTAAATCCATTGGATGTTGGATGTGTAATGATTGATAATTTAGTCTTAGATGCATGATTTTTTATTAGTTGTTATTGGCTTTGAACTAACTGTCAGTAACTTCGAGTACTCTCATTTGTCTTTTCGGGGCCTTTTATAGCTGACTATGCGGTATGGGATACGGTGACCTATAGTTGTTAATTTCTGTGTCATTTGGTCTCTTGTTAAGAGTTGTCTCATTGGCAATCATACCACATCCTCTTTTTTATATGACATGGCCAAAACTATTGGATAAATCTCTAAGGAGTTGTTGCTCCTAAATAAGGATTTCTGACTACTTTAACAGGGCTAGAACAAATAAACAGTTAATACAATAGGTAGGTACTGAAAAAGGGGGTCGACCTCAATGATTAGATGGGAAAGGACAAGGTTCACCTCAGGCCAAATATGGCTTTGAACTTACAGTTTTTCATAAAATATCAAATTTGCAATAATTTGGTTCTTAAATGGATCTACTTCATAACTTACTGCTAGGTTAAACAAATCACTTCACTAGACATTATAGGCTTCAAAGTCAGCACATTTTGTATATATTGTCAAAAAACGATGATTTTGTGCATTTTCTTTTCCACAAAAGCGTGAGGAAACCCTTGGCTGCAACATAGGATCTAAAATGTCCTGACGCCAAAAGTTGCCAATGATGATATTGAATCCATAGAAACAAAAACAAATCTGGCTCAGGGGTGCCGGCCAAAGTAAAGTATGTGAAAAACTTTTGAAACTTATTGGGAAATTGAACAAAATTGACGTTACAACACAAATACACTTGAGGGGTTATTTTTGTTTTTTGTCTTTTTTAATATGATGTGCCAAAAGATAGTTTCTTAGTATTTAATATGGATAGTTATATCACAACTATTTCTTTGTGAAACTTGAAGTATGTTGGCTTGAGTAAAAAATCTTCAAATTCGTAGGGCTAATTTTAAACAATCATGAACATACTCCTTTGCCATTGGAAAATGATCAAGGTATATTGAATATTGACAGACATTTAGCCATATTACAGGCTATCCTACAGAATCCTGGTCCTGAGGTAATTAACATACAGACAACGCCAAATATGATATCATGTAAAAAGGCAGAAAAAAGTTATAATTTCCGATATAATGGACTTAAATAAAATCTTTTAAGTTTTTCGTGCTAATATATTGATAAATATGAACATGATGAAGCAGTTATACAATTTTTCTTATTATACTTTAAAATGATAATGTAGCAATACAAACACATTATATTTTCTCAGACAATTGAAGTTACAAAAGATACACCTTCACAGGGCCGTTTGTTGGGGTTAATGGCTCTACTTTATGTATGTTGTGTGTTTACGTTATGTAAAACGGTGTCCCCCATGGAATGTGTCTTCGCGTTCATTGTGTATTTGGACTTCCATTTTAGCAACACCACATGACAACACTCAGTTTTGTATGTTTATTTTGGTTCCTATATTGATTCTTCACTTTTTTTAATGAAACGATGTATTTTGAATACAAATAATGATTCATTTAATAGTAGCTTCGTGAATTATCTGAAAGTCAGATCACGTTTCAGGAATTTTGACAATTTATTTAGAAGATATTGTTACAAATGCCAAAAGCAGGAATTAAACCCGTCTTCCGCATTATGTATCGTTGATATCAAACCAGCATGCCCCTTAATATAGTTGCATACTTTTACATATAATGAATAAACATGGTAGGTTTGGTCAGCAATTTCAATCCGTAAGAATCGTTTCATATATATAACAGAGGGCTTTGAGATACAATTACGGGTTTCTCTCATTTGACCCTTATTAGTTATATGAATGATCTGTATTTTGTGTCTTATAACATATTGTTATGACAGTCACAGTACACCGAGAACGCGGTGGCACACTTCATAGAGGACGCCGTCAGCATAAGTTGGTGGTGCTGTTTCAGATTCACAGCTCCTCACCTTCTTGTTTACCGAGAATATTCTAACACAAAACGGTAATGCATGAAATACTCGTCACATTTATCTTTGGAGCTGCAAATGAAGCTTCCTGAAATAACTTTTTGGGCTTTACATATATGTGAACATGATTAACTGTGATAAGTTTTGAATTTATTGCTCATCAGCTTCCCAGTTACCAAACTCTTTAAGCGGGGGTTTCGTTAGTGGGCAGTGTCCTACAGTTTTACATGTTAAATCTTAATAATTTTGTTACCACTCATGAAAAACGAAGACTAACATTATTTTGGGCGAATTTCTACTAGCCACTCAGTAGTTATGTTATTTGTTTGCTTGTGCAATGCCCCGAAAAATGAAAGACACAGAAATCGGTTTCTAAGCCTCATACAAAAAAGTTAATATTTTTCTGACATTGACCTAATATTGTATATACAATTATATATGTCAAAAAGATACTTCATGCAGTTTGTTCAAGTGATCTGTTGTGTTGTCTACAATATATTTTCTTCCTATTATTCTTTGTATGTTTTGTTCTAAACATCATTTGAAAATGATAATAATGAATGAAGTAAATGTTCTATGGCATACATGTACGCCATTGGGTAATCGATGCAAATACTATAAAATATAATCATACAGTAATCGTTAAAAATCCATAGATCAAATCGACAGTACTTTTTTCGATATTCCTATCTCGTAAATCGATATAGAAGAGACTAATCAGCATGATTAACGGAACAAACAAAAACTGATGAAATCACATGAACCACAAAAGGTGTGAGAAAGGGTGCGTCGAGATGGTAACCGTCTCCTGCTATAAATGTATTTCCATCCATGCAAATTTACACCCAGTCAAATTATCAAAATCGGGAATAGGACACCATATGTAAAATACCGAATCAGAAAAACTAGACTGGTATCAAAAGATCTAAGACCGCGAAAACATGTTGCTAGTGAGTGGGGTTCGTGTTGCTTAGTCTTTAGTTTTCTATGTTGTGTCTTGTGTACTATTATTTGTCTGTTTGTCTTTTTATTTTTTAGCCATGGCGTTGTCAGTTTATTTTCGATCTATGAGTTTGACTGTCCCTCTGGTATCTTTCGCCCCTCTTTTGAGACACAGACTCGTCGTATCAATCAATCAATCAATTCGTTATGGTGACTGTAGTGTTGATTTCAGTTGTTCTATATCATTACTCTGTTAGAGCAGCTTGTTTTGTTAAGGAGCAAACCACGGTTAATAAGAGTCCATGTAGTGTGCACATGCACGAGCGTATGTTACTACTGAAAATGGGACGTTGAGACAATTTGAAAGTTAAAATTATCATTTTTGTCATCGATTCTATTTTGCAATCGTCAATCTGTGTCAATATCGAGTGTACAAATCAAGATATAAGGCAGACCTTATACTTTCGGTAGTGTCCTTATCTCAAGTTCACTGGAATATATAAGCACTCATTGGAATGTTGTTGATTGAGTGATAGTATACGTACATTAATAGATACCGAATCTGGAATAATGTATTTGTCATCTTTACTGATTCTGATACTTTTATGTTTCATGAATTTAGGTTTTATAGTCACACTGATTAAAACAACGCGATGTAGCTAGTGTAATCATATTTTATTAATTTATTTATGAAGTTATACAAAATAAAAAATATAAAAATGGCATGTACATATACATGTAAACAAAAAATATCTTAAGGATCGGAACTAATCTATGAATTTGTTATTATATTAACCCGTTTCTTAGAGTAAAGAATCTTTTGATATGTTTAATTTTGAGATAGTAGACATTTAAGTAATTAAGAACTGCATTTCATGAAAGACGAAAAACAAGGATAAAAATATCTTGGTAAGAAAAAGCATTGTGATAGTTTTTTCATGATATGTGTAATGCATGCAATTATCGGACATAGAACATGTATACATAAAATATTTTGTATGTTTCACACATGCGTTCAATGACATACAATTATAATTGGTTATAGCAGTAAATGAATTAACAAGTTACTTGATAAGCAGTTGTATATATTGAAGGACATTCGTCAACTTAAAACGATCAACAATAATGAACAGTATTTTAAAGATCTTGATATGTATAAATATGCATATTCGTGTGTAGTTTTGATAGAATTTCTATTAACAATCGATGTTTAAGACCATCTCTTGCGACTATATGAAGATCATATGACCGTAGTATTGTCGTATGTGGTCTGCTCAATCATATGCAATTCATAAACTCTTTTCTACTTTGTATGTTGTTTCATACATTGCGGCTGTCATGATGTGCATGTGATACATTGTACATGCATGTATAACGTTATAATTTGACATTTACAATTACTAATAATTCCCTGGGTCGAAAATCCAGTGTTTGTTCTAAATCAATGTTTAAAAAATCGGATCACTTGCATTTATGCCATTTTTCAATAAATCATATGCGAAATTATGCATCTGCATTTTGAATAATGATTTTATAACGGCACGTCCAAATTGAAATCACCTAACGTTTCCGATGTGCATGTTGTAGTTAAATGGTAAATGCAAACGCAGTACTACGGAACCAATAAATACATAGAAAATAACAGAGGGGTTGAACTTCACCATGAACTTCACTAAGTATTCGCATACAGTGAATCTCCAGAATCACTTTCAAGTAGCACTTTAATACACTGATAACAGTATTCGTATTGATCCTGAAACAAACAAATGAAAGCATTATTACAAATTCGTTCGTCTTACAAAAAATATTTAGTAATACATAATTATCTCATCGGCCAAAGAACTATATTTCCTTAAAAGGAGGGAAAAGAAAATATCACAAGTATTTCACCTTTGATTCCCCTTAAGGGCATACGATACAGTTAAAGGGGAGATAATCACGTCGCAAACGTAAAACGTTATTTTTCGCGACGTCAAACTGTGACATATTTTGGAAAACATGCATTTTCCGACTGATTTTAATCATAAGTTTGAAAACGAGGTTCCTCTTTTTCAAAATGACATTTAACTTGATTATGTATGGAGAATACGTGTACCAATTTTTAAGAAAAAATCACCAATGAATTTTGTTTAATCAGATGAATATAAAGCAAAACATGCCGTTGTTTTCTTAAGTCGTGAAAAATTAATAAAAATAAATTATTTCCAAATAATTATCACACAAATTTAAAGCATACTTAGGTAAAGATGATGTTCCAAATGTTTTTACAAAAATCTGTTTATGAAACAAACAAGAGGCTCTCAAGAGCCTGAATCGCTCACCTGTATTTCAGAGGAGAAGATTTTTCAATGTTAGCAAACTTGATGAACAAATTGTGTAAAATTGTCTTTAAAGGGCAATAACTCCTTAAGGGGTCAATTGACAATTATGGTCATATTAACTTTTTTGTAGATCTTACTTTGCTGAACATTATTGCTGCTTACAGTTTATATATATCTATAAAAGTATTCAAAATAATAACAAAAAACTTCAAAATTTTGTTAAAACTACCAATTCGGTGGCAGCAACCCAACAATGGGTTGTTCGATTTGTCTGAAAATGTCAGGGCCGATAGATCTTGACAAATTAAACAATTTTACCTCGTCACATTTGCTCTGAAAGATTTAATTTTTGAGATATAAGCCAAAAACTGCATTTGACCCTTATGTTCTATTTTTAGCCATGGCGGCCATGTTTGTCGATGGATACAAACTTCGGATACAATTTATAAACAAGATACCCTAAGGAACATTTAGTTAAAGTTTGAAGGTAATTTGCCCGGTAGTTTCAGAGGAGAAGATTTTTAAATGTTAGCAAACTTGATGAACAAATTGTTTAAAATTGTCTTTAAAGGACAATAACTCCTTAAGGGGTCAATTGACAATTATGGTCATATTACTTTTTTGTAGATCTTACTTTGCTGAACATTATTGCTGCCTACAGTTTATATATATCTATAATAGTATTCAAAATAATAACAAAAAACTGCAAAATTTTGTTAAAACTACCAATTCGGTGGCACCAACCCAACAATGGGTTGTTCGAGTCCTCTGAAAATTTCAGGGCCGATAGATCTTGACAAATAAAACAGTTTTACCTCGTCACATTTGCTCTGAAAGATTTAATTTTTGATATATAAGCCAAAAACTGCATTTGACCCTTATGTTCTATTTTTAGCCATGGCGGCCATGTTTGTCGATGGATACAAACTTCGGATACAATTTATAAACAAGATACCCTAAGGAACATTTAGTTAAAGTTTGAAGGTAATTTGCCCGGTAGTTTCAGAGGAGAAGATTTTTAAATGTTAGCAAACTTGATGAACAAATTGTGTAAAATTGTCTTTGAAGGACAATAACTCCTTAAGGGGTCAATTGACAATTATGGTCATATTAACTTTTTTGTAGATCTTACTTTGCTGAACATTATTGCTGCTTACAGTTAATATATATCTATAATAATATTCAAAATAATAACAAAAACTTCAAATTTTGTTAAAACTACCAATTCGGTGGCAGCAACCCAACAATGGATTGTTCGATTCGTCTGAAAATTTCAGGGCCAATAGATCTTTACCAATTAAACAATTTTACCTCGTCACATTTGCTCTGAAAGATTTAGTTTTTGAGATATAAGCCAAAAACTGCAATTGACCCTTATGTTCTATTTTTAGCCATAGCGGCCATGTGTGTCGATAGATACAAACTTCGGATACAGTTTATAAACAAGATACCCTAAGGAACATTTAGATAAAAGTTGAAGGTAAATGGCCCAGTAGTTTCAGAGGAGAAAATTTTTAAATGTTAGCAAACTTGATGAACAAATTGTGTAAAATTGTCTTTAAAGGGCAATAACTCCTTAAGGGGTCAATTGACAATTATGGTCATAATAACGTTTTTGTAGATCTTACTTTGCTGAACATTATTGCCGCTTACAGTTAATATATATCTATAATAATATTCAAAATAATAACAAAAAACTGCAAAATTTTGTAAAAACTACCAATTCGGTGGCAGCAACCCAACAATGGGTTATTCGATTCGTCTGAAAATGTTCTATTTTTAGCCATGGCGGCCATGTTTGTCGATGGATACAAACTTCGGATACAGTTTATAAACAAGATACCCTAAGGAACATTTAGATAAAAGTTGAAGGTAATTGGCCCAGTAGTTTCAGAGGAGAAGATTTTTAAATGTTAGCAAACTTGATGAACAAATTGTGTAAAATTGTCTTTAAGGTGGCTCACCCCAATAAGGACCCCCGGAAGAATTTTTTTATTTTCACATATTTTGTAGATTTTTTTATGCTGAATCCAAAAATGCAAAGAAAAAAGGGGGTCACCAGGCTCGTTTTCCCCTCAAATGGAAGCGAAATGTGCGATTTTGACCCTATTTCCAAACTTTTACACCCTTTCAACAATAACGACTACATCAAATTCAAAGACTTTTAGAACCATGTCAGTATGATTATTATGTAAAAAAAAAAACAATTAAATTTGAAATGTAAACGTTCCACTTGGTTGTTTTAGACTTAAAAATCCTTTTATTTTCAGATTTATGTCTAAATTTGGCATTTTTATATTTCAATTTAAGGCTAAAAATATTGGTTAAATCGATTTTTCGTAAAATTTCCCCGGTAGATTTTTTTTTAAAACGGATATGTCAAAGCTATGAACTTTTCGAGCATTTTAAGGTAAAATAAAATGGGGGTCACAAGGCTTTTAAAAGTTTCGAGCTTTTGTTTAACCCCTCTACCCCATGAGGTCTGATTTCAATGCACTCCATTAATTACTTTATTGTGATTTTATTTATTGATGTCTTTAAATAAATAATGTTTGTAATTATATCAATGGACGAAAGCTGAATATAAATGTGATGAACATTCTACTGTTTGTTATAAAAAAGCAAAATTTTGATTATTTTAGTGAAATACGGTAATTTTGTCTGGCGCGAGTTGCTTCCCTCTAATCTGGCGCCATAATCGGACAACATAAATTTCAGGGTCGCCATTGCTGAGCAGCATACTGCACTGATAAATACGACCATGTGCATGAATAACAGACATAGTGGCGAATAGACAACGATGAAGGTAGAGTCATTACATAAGAAAACATAGATTTTAATATATTAGACAGCCAAATGTTATCAGTATCACGAAAAATACAAAGTGGGGGTTATCTCAAAATACTCGGTACTGTAGAAAATCACTGCGGCTGAAACCTTGCATGGGCTAAATTTCTGTTCTATGTATAATCGTTATGGTTGGTATCTTATTTATGTGTTTTCTTGACCCTAACCTGTTAACCGGCAAGTTGTGAACATCTATAGCCTGTTTTGAAAAAAATCCGTGTCAAACAGTCAAAGAGAATGGGATGGTCATTTTCAGCATCTCATGTCATGATCTGCGCTACCGTTAGCGTCAAATGAGTCTTGATTTTATATCGTCATTCGTAAAATCTAATTTCGTAGCCACGTTAGGGTCAAATGAAGTTAAATATTTATCGTTAGCGTCTATAATGACTAGTAAAACAGGTTGGGAACAAACCCTCTATATAGTGTTTATACCTGTATAGAGGAATAATCCTTCTATAGAGGGATATAAGAGGGGTATTTTTGTTAAGACTGGATTTAAAGCAAAATAGGGCAGAATGGCATTTTCTAGTTATATTTGCTATAATCTATAGTACTATATATGCATCAATTATTGCACTTTACTGTATTCTGTATTTCTTTACTAAAAAATGGCCTGGGATGCCCAGTTTTCTGCTAAAGTGACAGAACATGCAATCTATTGTATACCTATCTGAACACCTGATCAACAACAAAAGGGACATGCAGTTGACCTTTATATTTTATGTTAAATCTAACAATAGAAATTCTGTTCAGTGAGGCATAACTGAGTGGAATTTACCTGATCATCACAGCTTTCAATTATGGTGTACAATAGATTGTATATTCTGTCAGTTTAGCAGTAAACTGGGCATGTGAAATGAAATTAAGTACATCAATTGGTGCATCACATGTAGCAGGTTACTGCCATAATAAGTAGAAAATGCCATTCTGCCTTATTTTGTTTTAAATCCAGTCTAAACAAAAATACCCCTCTATAGAGGGATAATTTTATCCCTTTATAGAAGGATTATTCCTCTATACAGGTTTAAACACCAGTGGCGGATCGGGCGGTCCGGGGGTTGGAAACCCCCCTCTTTTCTTTTTTTGACGATCAATACATTTGAATTGGACATATAGTTGGAACCCCCCCTTTATCCTGGGTTAGAAAACCCCCCTTTTATAAATGGCTGGATCCGCCCCTGAACACCATATAGAGGGTTTGTTCCCAACCTGTAAAATGGGGTACCCCATAACTTCCCTCGGACAGGGGTTCATGATTACCACTCCCTATCCCCAACTCCCATTTCTCTTCCCTTTTACTCTAAAATTTTCTTCCCTAACTTCTACTTCCATCCCCCTTGCTCCCAGACAAAAAAATTGCAAAATATATTTCCCAGATTATTCATCCCCCCCCCCCCCCCCTCTTTTCGAATTCTTGTCCTTTCACCCAAAATCATGTTCTCTCCAATTCACATTCATCCCTCTTACATTCCCACCCTGAGTCTGTTTGTACCCTTCCTTTTATCTAAATCATGCTTTTGTTAGTATAGTTCTATAACAATAAAATAAAGATATATTAAGTTTATTTTTATTGTTTAAAAATAAAGTGACTCACGCGAGATCAAAGGTTTTTTTTTCTATTTATAATCTTCATAAGATTTACTTCTACCAAATTGGTTACTTTTATTTTCACTTCAGACCAGGCTAACTAACGGTAACAGACCTGCACATGATACCCTTTTTCTCGCTTCCTGATCCCTCATTCCCATGTTCCCTTACCCCTGTCCACCCGCTCAAGGGGTTCGATTGTTTCGTTTGTTTTCTTGAGAATATAAATGGCCTGATTTGTAAATTATAACCACTACAGTACGAGGCAATACATTTTATTGATGGATTCGTCTTGATCACAATTTGTTTACAATTAAACACACACACACCCCTGGTCTCTCTTTTGTATAAAAAATTTCATAATGTCAAGTATCAGGTTTAAACATACACGTAGGGATTATCTAATAACACATAATTTGAGTTGAAAAATTCATTATTGTTTTGTGCTTAGTATTTTAAAACACAACATTTGTATATCCCATATTCCAAACAGGTAACAAGACACCTCAGCATAATTTGGTTGACGAGGAGTACAAATGTAGCTTAGCTGCATTTTATAATTTTTAGGCATAGACATAACTTGTCCCTGGCATCGAAACAGCATGCCCCGAGAAGTCTGTATTCAACATATATATAAAAACAAAATCACTATTTACACTTGCTGTGCATGTAATTTTATTTTGTTTGCTCATTATTGTTGCCACAAATTCTTCATTTTTTTACGCCGTAGTGGAGTGGGCATTAAGTTTTACCCTTGTCTGTCTGTACGTACGTCCCAAAATTGGTGTCCTTTCTCTAACTTCAGTTTGCCTCAACCAAATGTTATGAAACTTATACACAATGCTTATTACCAACAAACACAGATCAAGTTTGAATTTTTTTTGGTGGTGTCACTTTTACTGTTCTAGAGTTATGCCCCTTTACAAATGGAAAAAATGCTGATTTTTTTGTTTCCGTTCTCTAACTTTAGTTTGCCTCATTCAAATGTTATGAAACTTATACACATTACTTATTACAACAAAATTCAGATCAAGTAAAACTTTGGGTAGTGTCACTCTTACCGTTCTTGAGTTATGCTCCTTTATAACTTTATATGCAATGGGGGCATCATCTGTGTCCCATGGACACATTCCCCATTTATTTAAAATATGAACTACATTATGCTTTTAAATGTCAATCATGGTTGATTTTCTGACAGAATTACTCTGACATTTAATTTCAGGCTTCAAGTACATGTAAGAGGAAGGAGTGATTTGTTGTGAAAGATCCTGGAATGTTCAACTTTACTTGGAAACTATTGGCAAAGAACTGACAGAATTAACACGAGAAGCCAGTATCATCTTGTCTTGCAATTGGGAACTATATGTAAAGTGCAGAAACTTAAGAACAACATTAGAAGCCAAGATCAACAATACTTGGAACTACATGTATAATCAAAGTACTGTCAGAATCCATATGAGAGAACCCAAGATCATCTACACTTGGTTTCTATATGCAAAGTGTTGTCAGAATCCACTTACATGTAAGAAGCCAAGATCAACTATAATTTGGAATTATATGCTTTAGTGCTGTCAAAATCCATAAAAAAAACCAAGATCAAAAGGACTTACATTGTACTTTACCTACCTGTCCCAATGATGAATACAGATTAATGAGTCTTATAAAAAACACTGATGAAGAATATTGATATAAAAATAATGAAAAAATAGAGCTGATCAGCTAATGATTGTACATGTACATGATGTATGCATGTCAACAATTACTAGTATACTGAAATTTACAATGCTAATAAATGTTTTATAAATTTTATCTCGTAGACATTTTAGGAATAAATATGATAAAAATCAAAAATGTTTCAAAAAATTAATTTTAATAGAGCTGAATTAATTTTTTTTTGCTGTCTGTAGTGAATTTTGCTGCAAACACATTTCATGATATGCAAACTGCAATATATGCAGATGTCTTTAATACAGAAGGTAGCTATGAGATTTGTAAATTTTGGAAATCATAATACCAAGTGGCAGTTGTGATAAATGCACATGCCTTTGCCTCATCTTTTACCTCACCAACCCCTGACCTAAATGGCCACTTGAATTATTTTACATCATTTGGCATTTGTTTTCCATCCATATACTATTCAGTTTCTATTTCAAAAATTATATTTTCTGGATAAAAGGAGAAATAAAATACAGTTTTGTTCAATGAGACTGCAACCAAACAAAACAACCAAAAGAATTATATATTGTCTGGGAAAACTTGTGTCTCACTATTAACTGACAACATTTTTACCTACTGTAAATTCAGAAATTATTGCGTCATTTATAATTGCGATTTTTGACGAATGGACTAAATTGCGAGTTTAATTATTGCGATTACAAAAAAAATCTGCATAAAGATCTATAATTCAGTTATCAGAATGCAAGTTCTTATTATTGCAATATTCACCCTGTCACATTATTTGCATTAATAATAACCTCACAATAATTTCTAAATTTACAGTATCACAATGATCCAGATTAATATTGTTTTGTAAATTTAGATATGCACTCAAATTAATACAGATTGCTACAAAGATCTCAAAATAGGTCATTTGTCAATGTCATGTTTTTGTGTTTTTGTCTGTTTTTTCTTATACTAAAACTACATGTAGTAGATAAACAATATGTATGCAATGATTCACAAATGTATGGAGTACATGTCTGTCTGGCAGTTGTCACTGACCACATTTGCATGGTTCATTGGTCAATGGTAAGTCCTCTTTTAACATATGCTACATTGTGTAATCAATGGGTTATTATATTTGGTGTATGGTATGATTATTAAATGTATATATTGAAATATTAAGTAAAAAGATGTGATATGATTGTAAATGAGACACTCCACAAGAGACCAAATGACACAGAAATAAACAACTAAATGTCACCAAATGACCTTCGACAATGAGTAAAACCTATACTGCATAGTTGGGTATAAAAGGCCTCCAAATGACAAATGTACAATTTAAAACAATTCAAATGAGAAAACTAACGGCATGATTTATGTACAAAATAATGAATGAAAAACAAATATGCCTGTCTTGCAGGGTCTATCTGAACTTAACCTTATGTTCATGGTTTTGTCTGTTACTGGCATACTATATATATGTTTAAAATATTTGGTTCATGGGGTGATTGTAACAGAGGCGGATTTAGGGGGAGGGCCCATTAGTTGATTATATAGGGAATCACTGAAGCATGACTGGAGCAGGCCTCTCTTAGGCAGTCAGCCCCCCCTTTCATGAAAAATTCTGGCTCCGCCACTGTGTAAGACTGGCTTGGATTGGTTTATCTGATCGTTTTCATGATCATTGATAATATTAATTTTTTCTGATACTTGTAGTGAAACTTTATCTTTAGGAATATCCACATAAAACCAATCTTGAATGATGATTAGTAAAGCAGGTGAGACATGTCAGCTTGTGCACTCTTGTTAACACAAAAATTATATGGACTGCCGCTAGAAAATAAATGGACAATGCATGCTTGGTATGGACAAAATTCCCCCTTTTTACCATACGAGGCTGCATATTTATCTCGGGTGGGGGTGGGGGAAGGGGGCACTTCCTATATTCAAGGTGATGGGACGTGCCGATGGAATAGGTCACCTTTTCAAGCTTGAAAATATGTGAATAGGTCGGGAAAACTATCAAAAATATATGATAAGGTCAATAAAGTTTCCATAACTTCTTCGTCTGTCATCTTTCTTGGTGTTCCCGGGTGTGATTTTATCAACCAAATTTTCTCTTTTAACACTTTGGTATTCTAGTCTTACATTACACTACATGAAACCCAAGCATTATAGGGAAAAGGTTACATTTTTACCTACGCAATATATGAAAAGGTATACATTTTTGAAATATAAATTTTTGAAAAAGGTGGGGCCCCAGCGGCACCCCTATCAATTAAGTATTGAAGTGCCCCTCCCTACCCCCCCTCCCCCGAGGTGTTTATACATCCAGCTCACGGTATGAACACCCTGTCATAGCAAGGGATTATCTGTCAGATTAGGGAAGTCATATTTCTATACCCTACGATATGAAAATAAGGAGATGTGGTATGATTGCCAATGAGACAACTATCCACCAAAGTTCAAATTTAAAAGTCAATATTAAAAAAAATTGCATCTCCATATTATCATCATAGGCCGATAATTACGTTTCTTTGCAGCTAGCAGGGGGGTCAAACCAGTGTTCACACATCATTAAAAAAGTTGTCATGCATATTTCTTGCCGCAATGACACACTCCACTTTAATTTTTTTAAATCAAGAACTTTCCTTATTAGCTTCCCTTTTGAAAAAAAGTAAGACAGAAGTTAAAATTTGCCAATATCACCGACTATTATAGCGTCCCTGTGTACTGGGCGGAGTTTTAAAATTACAATCCCAACTTTTCCTGAACCTAGTAAGTAGTATATATTTTGTGTATATATAATGTCCTTAACTGGTAGTGTTTCGAACTGCCCGGTAGACTGCGGATGTGTGTCCTAGGCAAAATCCCAACTTGGTGAAGCAAACTATTTTGCGCCGCAAAGCATGTGGTATTGAGGGATAATAGCATATACCGATATATAAGGCCGGAATACTAGTAAGGTCCCGGTTGCTAATGACCAATTTTCATCTACATGATCAAAGGTTGAAAACTGCAAATTTTTGAAATGTCCGGTTTTTTTCTGCGTAAAACAAAAAATGTGTTGCTCGAGTTCCGTTAGTCTATTATAATAACTCATTCTTAATCAATTATTTTAGTTTTTACGCTGATATTTCCTCTTTTTTTTAATGCGAACTCTGTTGGCATATTGATAGATACAACAGAAAATAGAAAAATTAACAAATAGCAAAATAAGTAAAAGGAAAACATTGGCCCCGTCGGAGGTCTCATGTTATAGGACTAGAGTTCCAAATTTCACAGAATCATGATACGAGAAAATTTGTTACATATTTTCGTGCCCATTATTTGATAAAGTATATAAATCTTTAAATAAAAATGTTATGTGCGACTGTCAAGTATTTAGTCTTTGTTTGAAAATTGTAATGTCCAAAAAATGTTTTGGAAAATTAAAAATACTTAACTATTATCAAAATTTTGCAGTGTTAAAATATTTCACATACTCCGGAATTGTTATGTTCAAAAATTTTTGGCAAATAAAAAATACGTAGCTATATATATTATCAAAATTTTGCAGTGGGAAAATATTTCACATACTCCGGAATAAGATCCTACCAATACTTGGAAATGAAGATATTTCAAGTAAAAATGAGATTTATGACAGTAACAAAATGTTATAATACGCCAAACGGATAAAACGGTTAAAAGCTCATTAGAGCTTATGTTGACTCTGTTTGTATACTTTGCCGACTCTAAATAAAGCTTATTTATTATTATTTATTTATTTATTATTTATAGCGTGCAGATGAACCCCGATGCCTTTATACAATAGCATACTATATGGGTTTTACTTGTTTTTGAAAGCCGAAAGGTGACATGCAGTTGTTTACATCGCTATCCTTTGTTTACGGTTAAACATTGCGTCATTGGCAAAATATGTTCATATATATTCTTATACATCTTAAAGACATCTTTTGATATATTCAACCAGTATTTAAATGAAAATAGGGTGTGAACGGATCCAAGGGGCGAACGTGTAGGGTGAGAATGTGTTTTTGGAGTGAACGCACCAGATACCGTCGTACAAGTCAATATTTATATTTTCTTTTTTTTAATGTTATGCTTTAATATATCATGTATAATTCTGTCCTTTTTATGTGAAAAATGAACAAACCACTCTGTAGTCCTGACCGTACGTATTTCCTGTTTTGTGGCTTTTGTAGAACGTTTTGCATGGTTTGTTGACATCGAGAAAGTGTGCTTTCATACACGCCCGCGTTCCAATGTCGTCAAAACTATTTTTGAGAAAACCCCTCAAAGCGACCGTTTCCAAGGCGCTCGTCGTTAGTAACATGCGTTAAAATATGCGCACTGTTAAAGGGCCGAGCCACCTTAAAGGACAATAACTCCTTAAGGGGTCAATTGACAATTATGGTCATAATAACTTTTTTGTAGATCTTACTTTGCTGAACATTATTGCTGCTTACAGTTTATATTTATCTATAATAATATTCAAAATAATAACAAAAACTGCAAAATTTTGTTAAAACTACCAATTCGGTGGCAGCAACCCAACAATGGGTTGTTCGATTCGTCTGAAAATTTCAGGGCCAATAGATCTTGAGCAATTAAACAATTTTACCTCGTCACATTTGCTCTAAAAGATTTAGTTTATGAAATATAAGCCAAAAACTGCATTTGACCCTGATGTTCTATTTTTAGCCATGGCGGTCATGTTTGTCGATGGATACAAACTTCGGATACAAGATGCCCTAAGGAACATTGAGATAAAAGTTGAAGGTAATTGGCCCAGTAGTTTCAGAGGAGAAGAGTTTTAAATGTTAGCAAACTTGATGAACAAATTGTGTAAAATTGTCTTTAAAGGGCAATAACTCCTTAAGGGGTCAATTGACAATTATGGTCATAATAACTTTTTTGTAGATCTTACTTTGCTGAACATTATTGCTGCTTACAGTTTATATATATCTATAATAATATTCAAAATAATAACAAAAAACTGCACAATTTTGTTAAAACTACCAATTCGGTAGCAGCAACCCAAC